GGGGCCAGGTTGCGACCACACTGACACAATTGGCGGATTGCTTTCACCATTGCCGAGACACAAAAGTGGTGGAGTGAGGAGCTAGAGGCACATGGAACCCTACCGTAAAGTGCACTGCATTAGAATGTTTCCCTAAAAACTTCGTCTGGATGCTTGTGGGCTAAATTCCCTTCGCAAATAGATTGTTCAAGTAGATGGAGGATTTTGAAGACTCGAAAACTTGGGGATTGCCTCTGCCATTCGACTCCATAGCATAATTACCGTGGTACACGACCTGAATGTGTTTCAATGATCCGAACCTCAAAGTGATAATTACAGAGAATAGCAATGTCCCATTCCCAGGCTTTTATTTTGGGTTGACGGTAAGATGCTGCTAGTTTGTCATCGCCTTTCAGTGGATTAAATTCCCGCCACGAATAATAGTTACAGTGTCCAAGATTTTTATCACCTAGGGACGTATAGGATACTCAATGTCCCTACATTCTTTTTACACGCCCTTGTGGCCTTTGCAATGGCCAGGGGACAGAGAATAAGGAGACCTCCTCCCACATACCTTGCATTGGCCAAGATCCAAATACACTAGTCTCCAAACGGTGCAATTCGATGGATTTTATTCTTTCCAGCCCATTTTTCCTTGCATGGCATATATTCAGCTGCGCGAGAATTGCTAGTTCAATGCATGCATCTGAATGGAACCTATGAGCTATTGGTATTAGCTGCAACTGATAGCGCCCAACTATGCAGGAGGTGCTGGTGTGGAGCTCTGTGGTATGTTCACGCACAAAGACTCCAAATTTCCTGCTCGTCAGTAGAATCTTTCATACCCATCCATCACCCTCGAAGAGAGTGTGACTTCTAGAGAAATGTCGCTCATTCATTTTGTCCTTATACTGGTGCTCACCGTGTTGGTCTGGCGCAATGGGTATCTGACCAAAACACTCAACAACATCATATCAGTACCTATCAACGTAAGTTATTCTCTGCTATTGTGCATCATGTTAATTGACAGGCATCTGGTAGGCCTACTTATGCTGGAAAAACCCGGTCAAATCACTGAATAAATCCAAAAATATACCAACTTGCCCATTTCAGCTTCCAAACGGCCAAGGGAACGTCAAATTTGCGGAGGGCCGAGCTTACTCTCGCAGATGGGCGAGTAGCTTTGGCGAGATATATCGTATCTGGGCTGGTACTACCCCTGAAGTGTATGTCTCACAAGGTCTCCCTAAATCACAGCAAACAGAGAGAGCTGACACCTTGGAGGGTCCTTACCCGTCAAGAGCATATGCCCGCAGTATTCAAAGACTCCCACCTACATGCCAAGTCCTTCAATTTTGACGCTGGTTGGCTCTTTGGTGAACTTGTAGGCAAAGCCGTGGGCCTTCTCAGCGGGCAAGATTGGAACCGGGTGCGAGACGTCTTTGCGCCGAGCTTCCATCGAACCAAAGTCGACGAATTTCTACCCGTCATTCAACGACGTGTCAAACAGTGTCTTGATGAGCTTCACGCATCACCGAAAGTCCACCCGAATGGGGCTTTGATAATCAGTCCGGCTGATGATCTACGACTATTGTCATTCTGGGTTCTTTGTGACATCATGTACGGAGACATGACGCCAGAAATGGAGGCCAACATGCTCAAGATCGTCGGTGAGAGGGAGCAGGTCTGGGCAAACGTTACTGCTGGGGGGGCTCTCCCGCCTTTCCATCGGACGCTACTTGCCAACTGCTTCGAAACGGACTCTCAAGCTCTTCCGCTCGCAATGGTACCAATTCAACCGACAGGCTTGCAATCGTGGTCGCCATGAACTTAAAGGAACCCCGCCAATCTGCACTTATTATGATGCGGTGGAGCGCGAGGAACTCACAGAGAGAGAAATGCTCGATTCCATGGATGAAATCCTGTTCGCGAACCTCGATGTCACGATTGGCAGTCTATCTTGGGTGCTAATATTCATGGCCACGCATCCTAAGGTTCAAGATCAGCTACGGGAAGAGATTGGCAGTATCTCCAAGAAGTCCTACGCAATTAGGAATGAGTACATCTCAGGCTCATCTTCGCTCTTGATGGCGTGTCTTCTCGAATCCGCTCGTCTACGTCCAATTGCCTCATTCTCTGGCGCGCAAAGTCCACCGACGGATCGCGAAGTGGGTTCGTACGTTATACCTGCAGGCATGAATGTCACAGTGGATATTCACGGCTTGAATACTGACGATCCCTCTTGGGGAGATGACCGCCATCAATTCAATCCACGTCGGTTCCTTGATGCCAAAAATCACTCCGTATTCCGGTATCGGCTGTGGCGATTTGGGTTTGGTCCGCGACAATGCCTTGGAAAATACCTCGCCGACCTGTTTTTGAAGACCCTCTTAGCCCATATTGTTGAGAATTACCGCATCGAGATGAAAGATTCCTCGCCTGTATCTTTGGATGATCTGAAGGGGAACTCGGCCGGGTGGATCAATCTCGCTGCGGAGGATGTCGTCTGGGTACGAATTAGTTAAGTCAGATGAGTCTGAACAATGTATAACACATGTTCGCTGAGAATATAACCCCTGTAAATCTCATTTCAACATTTCATTGTGCAATTTGTGATGTAACGCCACATATCTAAATAGCTTCGGGACAATGGTAAAAGCTAAGTTACTGTTGTGTAGCCAAGGAAGCAAATGGCTGGGTTGGGGGCAAATATAGTATCCATTATGAAATAGCTGAACTGCTCGCCTACCTACTACCTTAGGAATCTGTCTTCGTCTCCCACTGTGAACTAAGAGACTTCTCCAAGCCCTTGAAGTCATTCATTCGGTGCTCTCCTTTTGCAGGAACGTTGACGGGTACATATTCCTTACGAGACAATATAGCTTCAACAGCAATAGGAAATTCCTCGTACGCGGAGGACTGGCAATCGTGCCCAAGGATCCACGTTGGCCGTGGAGTTTTCATCAGATCTGGGTTCTTTTTTATTGCGTCCCAATCTGGTTGGTGCCATGAATCGTGGTTCTCCTTGCCACCGGTCTGGATCAAAGTGGCTCGTTGATACCTGTCCGAACGCATTAGTAACCTCAACAGCATGATACTCATAACGAAGGATGTATCAACCTGATCTTTTCCGCAGCCCGTAAACCGAGGGGCACGTTCTTTTTCCCTGCAAGCTCCAGCGAAATTGCCAACACAGCCGCATCTTCAATGGCTTGACTAGCGCCTTGTCCAGCCATAGGAAGATAGGGGTGCGCAGCATCTCCAACCAAGAGGACTCGCGCTGCGGGAGATAGCCATGTCTCAAGGGGAGGCCTCGTGAGGAGGGGGAAATTGATCGCCTTTCCGGGAGGTGTCCGCTTGATTATTGGGGAAATTCGTTCCCAGCAAGGCCAATCCCTGATCTGGTCAAGCACATACTGTACATTAGCCGGAGCTGTCCACGACTCGCGAGCATTCCCCTTGGGGTCAGGGTGGGTAAAGATCCACATAACAGCCTTGCCTAGCTTCACAGTGCACATTGTGAACTCGCACCCCTTGCCCACGAATGCTAACGCCTGGTCAGTTTTGCCCGCACCGGCAAGCAACCAGTTTGCCTCAGGCTCTGAAGCAATCTCGTCGGCGTCGAAGTATGCCCGGAATGCTGCATATCCCGAACTCACGGGCGACGGATCCTTGCCCGTCACGAACCCTCGAGCTTTGCTATGCACACCATCGCTAGCGATTACACAATCAGCCCATACCTTCTGGTCGTTGACCACAACGCCGGCCTTCTCGTCTGTCTCGAAGTATTCCGAGACTCGCGCACCGAACCGGACTTCAATCCCAAGTTCCTGTGTATGTCGGTACAGAATATTTGCCAGGTCACACCGGTTCAAAAAAAAACCATCGCCCTTCCGGAACCCAGTCATCGCATTTGTCACAATGAAATTCCCCGCATAGTCGTGTATATCGACCGCTCGGACGTGGCTGACCTGGGTCTCAAGCTGTCGGTGAATATGCCCTTTTATCCCCCATTTGGAGACGACACGAGCCGCGTTGGTTCCAATTCCAATGCAATCACCTTCTTTCTGATTAGATGCATGTTTTACGTTTTCCGGGTTGGTATGTCTCAGGATCGACTTACCTTGAGCTCGTGGTGAGGAGGCCTTCTCAATGATTGTCACCGCATGACCTTTTCGATGGCACTCAATGGCTGCAGCTAATCCTCCGATTCCTAACCCGACAACGATAACGTGTATTCCACTAGATTGGGGCTCAGCAACCGTGTCCGGGCCGTGTACCGATGATACAGTCATGATGAATTCTAATGAGCTTGAAATATTCGTGGGGGTAGAATGAGAGGGCCGATTTCAAATGATTTGAATTCGGAAATCAAAGCCCAGCAAGGCAGGCTAAGAATATATGCAAGGGTTAGCGGCTTGCATTTACTGTAGAAAATGGTTCCTTGCTACTTAGTGAACTTAATTTCCATTCTTAATGCACTTCTAGGCAGAGATTAATCCCATGGATATGATAAGTCCACCTTCATCCTGCAAGTTGGTTGTAAAAATAGAAATTCATCACTCCGCCACTTCTGCAGGGTTCGTTAATATGACCGACTTGTTAGGACAATGTCCGGAGGGTGTCTAGATACGATAAGGGTACGAGTGAAGAATGACGTATGCCTGGAATGGGTATGATGATATTCGGGCTAATCGTTGCTCCTCCTAAGAGAATCCAGCTCCTCTTTTTTAGTGGATTCCTGCGGGCCTCGGCAAGCAGTTAAGCGAGGAGATATATCAACAGGCGGCTCTGGTGGTTCATAGGCACCTCCGCATTTTCTATCCCTCATGTTACTGGTGACCTCTCGCAGTCAAGATGGGAATATCAACGTGTATGGAAAGTGTACAGTTTGGCCGTAACGGGTCACATGTCGCTGCGGTCTTACGCGTAAATGCATTGGACTGCAGCGTCAGAAAAGGCCCGTCCGCGCTCCCTTGAAGGGAGGCAATGTGTCTGTGTATTGTAATACTCGTTTCTATTTACAGAGGGGAGGCGGGAGAGACAAATTTGAGTCGTGACTGCGTGAGAGATAACACGCTACCACCGGAGGCAAGCAGCTGACTCTTGCGAGGCAGTTGTAGGAGGAAGAAGCCCTCCGTAATGTCGGTGTATATATCACGTGAGACAGCATGTGCAGTGTAAAGCAACCTCAATAAAACTCCCTGTATGGTTGCGTAACACGACTCGTACCAAACTGCAGCAAACTAAGGAAATGCAGCAGAACAACTTACCATAATGATGTGCAATTCAAATTGCGTAGATTGCGACATGACCCCAGTTCATTCGACATGGTCGCGATAAGGCAGCGATGACCCACCCCATATAGAACTGAACCCTCGCTAGGTGGCTTTCAGGCTTATCTCTCATTTCCTGTCCAGTCTCTCTTCTTCCATTGTCACACTCTTAAAGTACATTAATTTTCTGCTTGCCGCTTCCATTTTCTCTCCTGAAAAAAAGCCACCGCATTTGCCATCGATTTTGACATCAAACAAGATCCAGAGATAAAGGCGTAGCTCTAAGACAACGTTTGAGAAGATGCCTTTTGCCGAATATCCTTCCATCCCATTCCGGGAACAAATAAAATACAGCATGCTCCAAGTGCAGCGGTCATGTAGAAGACATGATCCACGCTCTCAGAGTAGGCTTTAAGAACAGCAATCAGGTCTTGACTAAACACGATGTTCCGAATGCCAGTCGCACCGCTGTTTATGATGGTTTGAGTATTGATACCAGGCACGAATTTGGACAACAGAGTCTTCAGCCCACTTGAGAAAATCAAATCCGCAATCGTAAGCCACACCGCACCCGACAGTGTCTGAGCAAACATAAGTACAGACATAGCAACGGGGATTTGACTAGGTAGGAGTGTGTTTTGGATCGCGATGATGGGCTATTGTGCCAAATGGACGATATTAGCTCGATGAAAAATGTGTGTTGGGCGGCGGGAGATGTGGTACCAATTGAAAGCCTGCACCTCTGCCAACCCCAACTAAAATTTGATGTCCGACCCATTCTGCCGTGGATGTATAGGGGTTCCATGTTGACATCAAACCGTTGCCGATAGCGGTAGCCACTGCGCAGAAAATGCCCCATGGCCAATAGTACCCAAATTTTCCAACTAAACCATAAGTCAGCATCAATTCATTTATCGCAGGCAAGAGGGAGAGGTGAATTAAGTAAGACTCACTTGAAACCCCGGATAAGATTGCAAACACCAACTGCGAAAGGATACTGGGCAGCATATAGACTCCGCTCATCATAGGAGAGTTGTTTTTGATAGCCTGGAAATAAATTGGAAGATAATATGACTCAGAGACAGTCATACCAAAGAGGCTCATTAACATTAGACAGCTTGACCAAACAGTTACCTGGGATATCATCGAAAGAGGAATCATAGCATTATGTCCTTTGTGATACTCCCAAAGTAGGAAAATGATAAATGCACCGCTAGCGCCACAGAAAAGCCCGACCACAGTCGCACTATTCCAGCTATATTGCCTTCCACCATAGTCAAGCGCGAGGAGAAGTTGGATGGAAGTTGGAGCAAATAAAATAAAACCAACAAGATCAAGCTTATGGAGAATGGTCCGGCCTGCAGATTCACGAGGTAAATCAGTAGTATGGTCGGGTATATGGAGGAAGACTGTGAGCAATACAGCAATAACTCCAAGAGGAATGTTGATATAAAAGCCTGTTGTGGAGTATTGCTGGTCAACTCTTGCTTTCTAGAACGGGCTTCCAGGGGAATTACACCATCTCCAAGTTGCATACTCCGTCAGTGCACCTCCAAGTAAGGGACCTATGACATGGCCCAATTGGGAAACTATTATATTGAGTTTAGCTCATGATCAAGCGGCTCACAGGGTAATAGTACTGACTGCCCATCATGGCCCCAATCAGCGCTATATAAGGGTATTAGCAAGTTCATTTAATTCCATATGGATTATGTGCGTACGGGGTGACTTTTGCGGAGGAACAGAAGTTGAAATTATAGTCAAGGCGCCACTGTTCAGTCCAGCTGACCCTAGACCAGATATTGCTCGAGCAATAATCAGCATCTTAGAAGAAGTTGCTATCCCACAGAGCAGTGAGGCCAACCCAAAGATGAAGAGGAAGCCAAGATACGTCCACTGGAAGATACCATTTGACTCAGAATGTTATCCACTGGCCTTGAAAATGATGAACGAATTACATACCTTTGAGCTAAAATGGGTATATATCTTGCCGCATAGAGGTTGAAGGCAGGCCCTGATTATCCATGAGTATACTTGACCAGTTTGAAGTATGAAGAGGTTCTATTATACCCAGAGATCTGATATGCACTACCATACCATCCCAGGTCTTCTAGGGAGTGAAATTGGGAAGTAATAGATGGAATAGCCTGCCTAATATGTTAATGAAGTACCCCAATAGCTCATGAATGACACTCACTGTGACAATAATTGTCAAATCAAGTAAAGTCAGGAAGTTGACGAGGGTCACAGCACTAACTAACATGACAAGCTTGATCCCCGTGAGATGTTGAATTCCTTCAGTTTCTCTCGGCTCTGATGTCTGTTCTGTCATCTCGATTGAATTTTCATCGGAAACACATGGTGATGGTAACTTAAAATTAGGTCTTTTTAGGTGCCCGCTTGATTCCAAGCTGTTCTGCGTCGTATGCTCCATTGTAGTTGGGATATGGTACTATGGTGAGCGGAATAAGTATAGACGACTAAAGTACACTAGGAACCAGCAGATATCCGGGAAATATTTAATTAGCAATTTTGCGGAAATTCGCCCCTTAAGAGGGCGCCTTCTGAACCTCTAGGAATTTCATATCCCTTGCTTGGTGTCGGACGAAAAGAGTGGTCAAATACCACTAAAGACCATTTGAGAAGGGGTGTTCATCGTCCATCCAATTCCTCCAAGTATGCTTATGGCGTTTGGGTTAGACTCAGAGTATGATGCTGTAACACACCGAAACTGGATGATACAGACTCTCACGAGTGCTCAGCCACTCTCACATTCAATTAATCATCTGATTCTATTGGAAATCCTCAGTACTAGCCAATACATAATTTCCTCGTCCTGACACTTAATTTTACTAGGTATTTACGGACATAGATCTAGGTTGTTTGAGGTCCAAGCTTCGACTATCATCTAGGTTTGGATTGGGACGCAAGGGAAGACAGTGGTCAGACCGATGGGTCCCATGCATTTACAAGTCAATGAAGTATGGCTCATAAATAATTCGTGCAATATATTGTATAAAGTGGAGTTAACTGTTCTCCACGGTTCCGCAACCAAGGATGGGAGAGGCTGATAGATCGACATGGAATGGCTGTTCCACAGTTGCAGTTACACGGCATAATCGCGTCAAACATTTAGCTAAGTGGTGATATTGGAAGCAAATCAACTTACCAAAAGCAAATCTCCGTTGCTGTTATAACTATCTTTTATTGACGATGTTGAATATCCGCCACGTCGAATTGTTGTGATATGAGCCTGGTGCAGATCAGGAACCAAGCCGAACCATCGGAAGTAATCACGAGATATCTATAGAAAGAACCAAGTTGAATGGAAATCAACTTGATCTTCTCGTTGTATATATAGCCTAGTTTTTCCCTCTAAACTTCAACAAAAATCATCGAAAACGTACTCATTTTAGATCGCAGGCCTACTTGCCAGACGAAAAGCTGGTGATTTTGCGTATACTTTAAGGCTAGCAATGAGATACGACCGTATAGGTTCACACGCTTGACTCAAGTCTGACAAACTGTACCAAGAGGTCCCATTCGAAAGTTTCGGTTGAGCCTTACGGATATTTTCCAGCGTCCATAACTCAATCAATTCTCGCAGCAAATGGTGCTAGGCAGCTTGGCATGCTTATAACTGACTCGTCCTGTTATCCGTGCATATTCATCACGTCTTATCCGAAACAAGCCTTGAGCTTCATGTTATCTCTTAATATCCAATTCGATCTTCATCCCTTTTTCGTTTCAGGGCCATAGCGTGCAATGCGCGCGTCTTTCAATTTAGTCAGCATTGCATCAGCTGGATGCAAAGAACTCACGTGATAGTTATGAATGGTCTAGACTCTAGACTTTACGCTATGCCAATATAGAAATCAACTATGACACACCTTGCAGCCAGCCACATTCCGGTCGGTGGGATGAAGAATGTGATACGCACAATTAGCTGCTATGAGTGACAGAAATCTATCGGGTCCATGTTAAGAGCATCAGTGGCGAGGTTTCTCATCCTGGGCCAGGCGCTATTGACACCTAGTTCTAGTAAAGATTGACGGAGCAAAAGTGACGCATCCATGATAGAGATTTTCGTACACTGGGAAACAGTAAATTTCTTTACTAGATCAATTGGACGTATGTCGCAGAATCCCTTATTCGCCACCAGTATTTGATCAAATGACCTTATCAAATCTGAGTTTACATTAATTGGGAGCTAAAGAGCGGGTCGGTACGGAACGTAACGGAAAGTCAATCGATCCCGTGGAGACAGACACGACTGCATTTCCTGTCCCAAGGATGATCTAGAGGTACGCCCCTATGATACTTTAGAGGTGCTACCTATTGCTCCTCATCCGGTTCCGTACCATGCACAGTGACATCAAAGGCACCCTTCCTTTGAAATCATGGATTGCGACCGACGAACTGTTATGCTGCATGTTCCGGTCCACACAGGCGTAAGGGGATCTGATCTCCCATGGCTGGCTGAATGATCGACACGTTCGTCTCAATGCCGATTCCAATAATTAAATGTTGCTTCATCAATAGATCATTTATTCTGCACGAGTTTGATTCTATTAAATGCATGGGCTGATGACTCGCGTGATAAAACGAGATAAAAAGGTGTGTGTATTGTGTGTATGTAGTTAAGGCCGAAATAACCCCTTCCACTCGTTCCTCGTTTCAAGGCTTCCAGGCATAAAGTTTGAGAACAGGGGTGGTCCCGATGGTGGAGAAATGGATGGCAGACCAATTAGAAGAAGACTTCAAAGGGTGCTGAGCAAAAGAATGCTTCTCCAATGTGGAGCAAGGAGTAGCTGAGGACCAATCATGTCCAAGAACTCCTAGCGCCTGTGAGCTTTCTTCTCATTACAAAGCCTCAAAGCATATTGATCGAGACAGGCCGTTTCACCTTCTCATCTAATGCGAGTTCCAGATTTTTCTGTCCTCGTCACCCTAGATTGGCCAGCTTTTCACTTGAATGCCAAAGTTTGGGCGTCAAGGTTTGACTGATCATAGCTTCCTAGTAGGAAGAGGTCTCCAGCTCCATATGAACCCTGATGCTACCACTGCGCACGAGATAAGACTGTTCGCGATAGAACTGAAACACGCATGCTCTAAAATCAAAAGATATTCCAGCGCAATCTCGGCGCATTGAAGCTTCGCTTGCTCTTTAGGATAACTACCTCAGTGGATATTACATAAACAAGGAGAGAGCAGGGATGACTGTGGATTAGGGCTCTCCGGTCTAGCCCGATGGCTCAGGACTTAGCGGAATAGTCTTTGGTGGAATAATTTTTTACAGAGACCCGGGGCATGCGAGGGTGTAAGGAAATGCACGAACCTCCGCTTGTGGTGGAGAAGAATTTGTCAAATAGCCAATCTCTTAAGAATCATACCATCCACCAATTTCGAGCAATTTCCTACCAACATTCAACACTCACAGTTCCACCGCCTGTTTTCTTTTTGCTAACGTTGAGCGTAGCTTGAATCACCAAATTGATGGTGAAAATCCTATAGACAAGACATATCTGTTTTTTTTCCCCACCATTTGGCACAGTGTTGCAGTTAAGTAATTCGTGCACTGTGTAACTTAATTCGCGCGTTGAGTAATTCGTGCATTAAGTGCATTAAGTAATTCGTGCATTGAGTAACTTTCAAACGAAGCCAGGCACAGCAAAGCAGGAGGTGGAACTCACCATAGAAAGAGTGAAAAATCGTCTCTTCATATTCCTGGGGCAAAGGAGATCCCTCCCAGGAGCGAAAAGGCATGGGGAAGATCTATACAGAACTTCCGTCTCCTGGGAGTCAGCAAGGTGCGACCAGCGTTTCCTAGGGTCACCGGAGTTGTCCCATTCACTGCAAAAAACGAGCAAATTTGGTGATCCAGTAAGCAAGTGCTGCACTCTTTCTGCATATAAGTCGTTCTCATTGACAAATACGAAATCAATATGTTCATTGGCAGACCAAGGCACGACCTTCATGTCATACCGAGCGATCGAAGACCAGAACTAATTCTCGATAGGGGACGAGGAATCCATTCCCCAAAATGCAGCGCATTTATTCGCCAATTCCATATAAGGAAGTTGAGAGGACGGCATAGGCGACTTTCCTTCGCAATAAACTTCGCTTGACGATGGATCTTTCTCGAATGGGCGCTCAAGAGGAAGCGATACTTTGACAACAGTGCCTTCGCCCACGCGGCTTTGGATATTGATACTTCCATTGAGTGTATCCACAATGCCGCGAACAATGGACAGACCGAGGCCGGTGCCCATTGATAGCGTATCCTCCTGCGAAAACGGAGTGTACAAATGAGTCCGTAAGTAGTCGCTTGAAATACCTTTCCCCGTGTCCGATATGGTCAAGGTTACCATATCCTCGGGATCCTGAAGCCAATGACCTTCCGAACATCGAGTGGCCTTGACACAAATTGAAACCAGTCCCTTCTCTGTGTACTTCAGGGCATTACCGAGAAGATTCATCTAGTAACCATTACTGTCAAATATGGCAACGGTTATATCTAAGGGGTTTTAATCCTTCTGATATGATTCGTTCCTTCCTTCTACTCAACTGATAGTGTAGAATAGAAAACTGTAATATTTAACACCATTGCATCACGAGATCTGTTTTGAAGATGGGCGGGAAACCAGCTCAGTTGGTGAAACCATTAGCCCGACCCTCTTTATTCTCTTCTCAATGTCAGTTTCAGAATCCTAAAGTTGTCATCGTCCCGTTGAGTTGTTTCCATAAGGCGTGCGCTATTACCGAGCGAGTCTTTTCCCTGGCCATGTTTTCTCGATGTCTGACCAGGGAAAGCGTTTGTTAGGGCTGTTCTGGTTCGTCTCTCACAGAGGCTAAAGCTGGACTTTTCTTGGCTTGGCGACGGAAAAAGATCCGCTTAGCCCATTTCCAGGATTCGACACCGATGAAAAATAGTACTACTTCAACCGCCACGATGCCCCATTCCCACGTTATAGGCTTGTGCTTGAACACAACATCGTTAAGCACGGGTATATAGAGAATAGGAAACATAGTGATCCATCCAGCCATGATGGACCAGAAAAGAAACTTGTTCCTCCAAACGTCATACATCCACTGGGTGAAGTATTTCTTGGATTTTGGTTGCATACGGAAGAATGATCGGCGCATATCAACCATCTCCCAGGCTAGGAACAACGCGAACCACGTCAAACACACAAATGTGGTTGCTCGTGCTCGAAAGACCAATTCGCAGTCTGTGATCTCATCCGACCACTCTTTGTTGCAACCACGGGCCAGATTGCCGTCACCAAACCCCCACATTCGTACAGAGAAAGCTGCCAGACAAAGCGCTGCAGTCCAGACGCCATAAACCAGAATATCAACCACTACCTCCCATGTGAAGATGCCCTGCTTACTCTGGGGGGGGTCGGTCCATAATATCAGGCGCAGCTATCTCCATACCGAGGCCCATATCTGGCATACCTGATGTAATCATAATAACCCAGAGGATTTCCACTGGCGAAAGTGGGAAGACAGATTGATTGTCAGCATCTTTAAAAGCCAACCCAATGAGTAAAGTACAGGCCTGAGCGATGTTTTCTGACAACAAGTGAAGAACAAATTTCTGAATGTTGTCAAAGATGCGACGACCTTCCTCGACGGCATTCAGAATCGAAGCAAAGTTGTCGTCAGTCAGAATGATATCAGAGGCATCTTTGGCGACATCTGAGCCGGCCTGGCCCATAGCAATACCAACATCGGCATGCTTAAGCGAAGGGGAGTCATTCACCCCATCTCCGGTCATTGCCGCAAAACGACGACGGCGATGAAGGGCGTCGATCATGCGTACCTTGGTTTGAGGGGCACAGCGTGCAATTACCAATGGAAGAGTAGGAAGGGCATCGATTTGCTCCTCAGAGAGCTTGTCAAATTGACTAGCAGTCATGACCATAGCATCCTCGACATCAGCTGCCACGGCACTGAAATCAGCAGGAAGGATTCCGACCTGCTGTGCAATCGCTTTGGCAGTGCCAGGGTGATCCCCGGTAACCATATGGACAACTATACCAGCTCGGTAGCAGGCCTGAATGGAGTGTGCTGTCTCGGGTCGAGGAGGATCATACAACCCAATCAGCCCTAGGAAGCACAGATCCTTTTCCACACTCTCACGTTCCAGGTCAGAATCCTCAAGCAATTGTGCCTGGCCGGTGTACGGTCTATGAGCAAGAGCCAGTACCCGGAGCCCTAATTTTGCCAAGTCCTCCATATTCTGAAAGATCTTTCGGCGGTGGTCATCAGTCATTGGCACGGGTGTGGACGAATCTTGGTCCCAGTTCACAGAGATGCACGAATCAACGATACGCTCAACAGCACCCTTGGTAAAGACCATTGTGCAATCATCTTGTAGGGAAGCCTTGTTGAAGATCACAGACATCTTTTTCACAGTCGAATCGAACGGAAATTCCGCCTTCTGTTGCCAAACTACCTTCTGGCCCTTTGTCCAGCGGTCGCGATTCCAGTTGAACCTCGATGCAAATACTTGAATGGCAATTTCTGTAGGTTCACCCCGCGCGCTCCATTCGCCTTCTTCAGACTTGTACACATGAGCAAGGTTGGCCATAGCTGCGACATTTAGGAAGTCCTCAAGCTGGCGGTTCTCTGATACTAGGTCCTCTGCCTTCTTCGCGGCGGGGCCTTCTTTTTCGTCGTCAAAGTCTGAAGGAGATAAAGGAGTAAAGGTGATATCTCCAATAGTAGGATTAAATGGCTCGTTAGATGTCCCAACAGAGTATGTCCCCCGAGATGGAATCCATGCTTTTTTGACCACCATTTTGCCCTGGGTCAGTGTGCCAGTCTTATCGGAGCAGATGTCGGTAACGGCACCAAGTGCTTCCAACGAGTCTAATTTGCGAACAATTACGTTTCGCTGGACCATGCGCTTGGTACCCACAGCCATAGTGATCGTGAGCACGACCACGAGACACGCCGGAATCATACTGATACCGGTGGCAACAGCATACATGATGACTTCGGTATTGCTGCTGAACATATTTGCAGCCATACATACAATGGCAAAAAGGACGGCAACTCCAAAAAGCAAGCAGGCAAGTTTTGACAGTTTCCGTTGTAAGGGAGTCCCGACATTGACACCAAGAAATCGACCCACGGCATCAGTTCCGGTAAGAGTCCAAGCCTGCAGATACCACCGTTTCTTGGCCTCACCGTTTTGATCACGCTTGACGGGACGGCGTTTGCTATCGCTAGCCCGCAACGCGAGGGCAATAGAACCAATCTCCGTGAACATGCCTGTACTGACGACAACACCTCGAGCACGGCCACGAGTGACCGTACTTGAGCTATAAGCGATGTTGAGACGGTCTCCGGGGCCAGTGTCTTCTTTGAATGTTGTATCGCATTCTTTCTGTACTGGGAGAGACTCGCCGGTCAGAAGTGCTTCGTCAGTGTCAAAATTAACTGCTTCAACCAGGCTAGTAAGGTTAAAAATGTTAGGCTATTTCAGCAACCTATAAAAGGGCAAGGGTAACAATAGACTAACCGAATATCCGCTGGGACGGTATCCCCAGTCCTCAGTTCGACCAAGTCACCTGGCACGATCTGATGTGACGGAACCGAGAACGTGTGTCCACCTCTCGAGACAGTGCCTGTAGGCGACGACAGTGAATGTAACGACTCCATAGTCTTCTCCGCAGCGTACTCTTGAAAGAACCCAACAACGATATTCAATACAATGACAGCACAGATCACTCCGCCCTCAATCCACGACTGAATTCCGAAACTGACAGCCATGGCCAGAATCAGTACCTGGAAAAGAACTGGATCAGACGTCGAAATGTTTCGACCGATTTATATTCACTGAGAGGATAGGCAATGGACCCCTTACTAGCATCATTGCGTTAGCCACCTGGCGAACAAGAATTTTAACCACCGACACTCCTTCCCCTTCGTCCAATTTATTCGGACCATATTGGTCAAGGCGACGGGTAGCTTCGCCAGGAGAGAGTCCTTCATCCAGCTCAGTGCCAAGTTCCTTGATGACAGCCTCATAAGTCAGTGAGTGAGCTGGCTGGCTCAAAGGGCTGCCACCGGACCCGTGGTCGTGAGTGACGTCGTGTTTCTTTGGCATTGGAGACTGCTCGGAGGGAAAAATAATCGTAGCTGAGATGTGATAGAGTCGTGTTTTTTTCCGTGAAGAACTTATGTTTGTTAGAGAAACAGAAAATTTATTTCGGTTTCAAAGCTCACACTAAATTCTGCCCGTGCTAAAAATCGGGTGGATATTCAAATCGGACCGGGTGAGCGCATCGCCATCACATTCGTCGCCACCTGCATGGGGCTGTACATTATTGGATAATGTGAGATTTGGAACTTGGCGCTGGAGTTTGGGCCGCAATCGAAAATTTGTTCAGTCCCAAATGCACTAGTCAGCCAACGAGAAGAAATTGCTGCCGAAACTGGCTCTGGGATTCTTGGCGCAGCGGGTCGGGTGGTAGAGCAATACCGTCAAGATGCATTGGTGTCATGACTTTGGTCTGTTCCACAGTTGCTTTCATCTCCGCAATCGCAATCGGCTGGGGATGAGGCTGCATGACTAGTTATGTTCTTAACGGTACTTTAGGCTTGGATTTGTCAGATAAAAATGACGACTGGGGCAGTTAAGGACATTATCGAAACATATATCAACAAGGCATATAACAAACCAGGATGGGCCCAAGATAAAGGCCAAAAGCGAGCTTGGAGACCTAATGTCTGCTTTCGGTCAGCCATTCACGGATTGAGAACAACAATTAGTATTAATCCATGTCGTCTGCCAAGCCTGTTCCCTAAACTCTTTCATGCCAAGAGCTCGAACCGCATTACCAAGACTCGAGGTTTTGCGTGGTCGAGTCCTGAGCTTTGGCCTCTATGAAGTGAGTGGCGGTGACGATGGTCACCACCTGTCGAAGCTATGTTTGCTATCAAGTGATTTGGCCACCAGCAAACTGATGAAGGCGAACTTGTATCCGTTTTCAAAAATTTTATGTGCATCAGGTGGTAAACCGGGTAATCAGGTGATATTAGAGTAGCGGGTGAAGGTTAGTATCGTATGTGGCAAATTCCGCCACGGATTCAGCTTGTCGCAACTCTTGGCGCCAAGTATGTAGCATATGTTCCGCGATGATGTGAGCAACTGGGACCGCGAAGTTCGAACCAATATGATACATAAGCTCCTTGGCTATTATATTTTTAGGTATATCTTACCCATTATTTATTCACGAAGGGCATGCCCTGATCACAATCTTGAAAGACGCTGGGACTCTTAAGTTGACTGCCGTCTGCCAAGCCTGTTCCCATAATTCCGTAATGCCAAGCCTGTGGGCGGTTTCGCCAAGGCTACGCTGCAGTTCCTCCACCATTGCCGGACCTCAGCCTTGTTCGTTGTATGCTAATAACACTCATCACTCTTCAAGAATTTTGTGAAATACTAGTTCCTCATAGTTTCCTCGGTAAGCCAGGCCCATCGAATATTTTGTGCTGGTAACTGGGGACAACACTACTCCGAGAATCTTTACTGACGCGTGCAACTGGCAGATAGCTATCTTTGGACACAACAGGCAACCGATTCTTTGCATTCTTGGCGGCACAGGATGTATGAACTACCTCGAGAGCTTTTAGAGACTGTATTCCGGCTTTGCACCTTCCACCCGAGAAGAAACACCGAACCCCTTGGCGATACCAGTCTTGACCGTGCCCTCATGGCTCACAGCCCTACCAATTTCGAATTGGGGTCAGAAGATTACAGACCCCATTCACCTTCAATCGGGGTAACTGTCAGCCCAGCAGAAGCTGGAGATGGGGACTTTCTCCCCCGGAATGAAATACATCGCCACTTCCAAAAATCCCCAAGGGCGAAAATGCGACTATTTCGGAAAACGCGCGAAGCAAAAAACGCAAGCTGGCTATTTTGCAAAAAAGAAAAACGAAGTGCCCAGTCAGAATCGGAACAGGAGATATTGAGGGTCATTTTGCAATCCGGAGAAAAATGCCTGCGAAAGCAGGAAAGTGATATCTCAGAAGTACGGGGATATCTGTGACGTGATTGGTAGTGGATCTTCCGCGACAATATTTCTTTCACACAAGACCCAAGAGTGGGATCCAAGAATCCATTCATTCTATGTTATCAAAGTCTTTCGCCGTCAACCGGGAATAAACGCAGCCGCGCATCGAAGGCTGATCGACGCCGAATTTTCAATTTCGTCGTCATTAAGACATCGAAATATTGTTCGAACCTTCGACCTAATAGATATTAATGGCGAAACCTTTTGTGAGATCCTGGAGTATTGTTCCGGTGGTGATCTTCATTCCTTGGTCGCTACAAGAGGCCAGCTGGAAAATAGAGAGGCCGATTGCTTTTTGAAACAGCTCATGCGCGGTGTCAATTATATTCATGAAATGGGTATAGCCCATCGTGACTTGAAGCCGGAAAATCTTCTTCTCACTTCAAATGGTGGTCTCAAGATATCGGATTTTGGCGCTGCAGAATGCTTTCGTCTCGCCTGGGAGACAGATGTTCATATGTCAAACACACGACGCGGATCACGACCTTATGTTTCGCCGGAACAGTATCTCAGTCAAAAGTTTGATCCGAGACTAGCTGACATATGGGCCGCTGCTGTGATCTACATTGCAATGAGGACAGGTAGACTCCTGTGGATGGTAGCCACCGCCGAAGACGAGAATTTTAGAGACTACACCGCGGACCGTCAAATTGGAAGAGGCTATTTTCTTATCGAGGATACGTGCTTTGTACGCTGCCCCAAGATCTTATGTACTTGAAAAGTATGCTAATTTCGCCGTTGTAGGCAGCGAGCCGCTGCGTCATATATTCAATGCTAGATGCTAATTACACTAGCCGGCCCCTCCCAAACGAGGTTTTACATTCCCAATGGCTACAAGGGATTGAAGTTTGCACGGACGTAGAAGACGGAAAAGCCTAGAAGGATGATTGAGTTAATGAAGATTCCTGTTCGCGACGGGCTGCTGGAAAATGATGAATCATTATGTTTACTTTGCCATTAAATCTTTGACGTGGAATATTCCTGTACCGGCTACAGTATTGCAGATATTGATTCCTGTGGAGTCGTACTTTCTCTATGTAGTGGAAAGGTATACTCTTAACGTGTTACCCTGATATCAGGTTGCTATAATTCGTGATAAGTCACCGATCTTCTGTCTTTTCTAGCTAGTATGCTAATTCCGACGGCAATAGGTGGATAGCCGCCGAGTCGTATATCCGATCCTGGAGCTTGACTACGTGTTTCCAGGCCTGTGTTAGTGGACGTTGAACATGTTGTCGATGCTTTTTCTGGCATCGCCGCGTGTGTTGAAACGGTGTCATCGACGAAGAGATTCTATGATTTTTGATGTACTGGATAATTAAGTAAAAACATGATGCCTCCGAATACAGCGTCAGATCAATGGGGAAATTTTGAATCAGCTGCAATTGGAGGTCAACTGCGGCCTTGCCCTCGCAGTTCGCAGCGGTCATTACATCGACGCAAGAGTAAGAACTGGGCGCAATTCTATGAGTACCTTGACTCTCGCCAGCAGCACGTTGTTCTCAAGTATTCCCTTGTCAACGCGGAGCAAAGAAAATCGACCGCTTCTACTGGTTCCCGAACTTTTGGATGTGGCAAATCATGGCAGAAACTAGCGGTGAAGAAGGGTGGTAATACCTTTTGTCGAGCGGAAAGAGTGGTCAAATACCACTAAGACGCTTTTGGGTGGGATGTTCATCGTCCGCCCAATTCCCCACGTATTCGTGTGGTATTCGGTGTAGACTCGGAGTATGGTGTCGTAACACACCGAAACTAGATGATACAGACTCTCACGAGTGTTCAACCACTCTGATCTTTAATCAATCAATCATATGTTTCTATTGGACATGTTCAGTACTAGCCAGTACATCAATTCCTTATCCTGACACCTTTCAATATCCTCAAACCCGTCCGTAATCGTCGTCAGTGTCTATCTGCAAGAATCGTTGAAAACTAACATGGAGCCGAAACTGCGATATCCCGCAGTATTCTAATTTAGGATGATCCGAAACCGCCTTGATCTAACAAGTGCGTACAGCATAGCACAGTGCTTCTTATGGGACAGGGCAGGGTTATGCTTTTGTGCTTCTCCAAAGTGGAGCAAGGAGTAGCATAGGACCAATCATGTCATGTTACTAATGATGCCCATTCTTCCAGCAAGAATTCCCTGGATTAAGCGGTCCCTCAAATTCTTGTTTCCTAGGATGTGCCTCGGTTTTTGTATAAGCTGTCAGTGATGATTCGCTACGATCTAGGCCGTTGTCTTCATACCTTCTTTCTTAGTAGAAAGACAACCTTATCTAGCTAATTACGTCTAGCTATTATCCTCTATCATCCCTTGCTCACTCGGACTCGCTGGTCTGTCCTGACTTGATGGGGAGATCAAGCTACTCCAAGGTGGGAAAAGGAGTAAAACCGAACCAATAATATAAGAGGGTAGTCGAATGGTAGAAGCTACTCCTGATCGATGTTGCCCTCCATTAACTCGCATGATGCTACTTCGAATTGCCCTGTTTAGGCAGATTGTAAATCGAGGCCCTGGCATGAATAATTCAGTCGTCCTTTTTCCCTTGATTCCCCAGGCCTGCTCGCCTCAAAAGAATAGCCAGTCATCATTGAAGAAATATCTTCCGATTGTATCATCTTTTATAGAAGAAATTTCATCTCTTTCTTCAGAAGCCAAGAGCGTGCGATGACCAGTAGTTTTACCAAGAAAGCTTTGACAAATTTTCTGGATCTTCAGTTGGTGAGAGTTTGTGTCGTTGAATTTCGCCGGAAAGTCAGAAGAGACAAAAGTGATGGGGTCTCGTTCGATCAAATTGTTTGATGCCGAGTTGACCCAAGGCGTTATTCTCAAAGGACTATGGATACCAACAATAAGGTGAGCCCATTCGTTGGCCACAAGGTCCACTGCCGTCTTGCCAGCTGCATTTTCCCAGTAAAGTAGATCTGGTCTGTGCTCCAGCATCAGCTGAAAAAGACCAGGAAACTTCTTAGTAACTGCCGAATGAATAGGAAGATTACCGAGCTCATCACCGAGTGCGAGCTGGTCCTTGGCTGCCGTCGTGTCATTGTCAAGTAGCATTTTCGCAATCGGCAATCTGTCATTGCATTCTGGATCAAACCAATTGATACCGGCGGCGGGGAAAAGCGTTGACCAAAATGCTTCTTTGCTGTGGGTGATCCAATGCATAAGTGGTGTTTGGCATTTTACCTTGTTTCGTTCCAAAAGCATAGAGGAAATGTGACTTTTGTCCATAATCTCGAGCATTTCATGAAGCACACTTGCACTCTTACAAACATCAAACTCACGGAGAAGCATTCGAGGGCAAACAAGGAGCAAATGCAACAAATTGTCCCCACCCTTGTTTTTAACCGTTTGATTTGCCCTGGCACCGATGAGAAGACGAGCAAAGCTAACTCAGCGGAATGCGAAAGCAAGACCGAGGGGCGTAAACCCCTCTGCACTCCTAACTTCGAGGTATTCGGGGTGATGGCGGATGAGATATTGAACCAGGCTATGGGATTCCTCAGATGGCTCGGAAATGATTGCGCAATGAAGAACCAGGTCATCTAAATGAAATTAGCATCATTGAAGAGAAAATCCAAAGAGACTTGAGCAAAACATACCTCTGTAATGTAACCAATTCGACACAGAAGTTTCGATACCCTCTTTAGCAGTCACGAATTTCTGAAGTTCAGGATGGCTCTCGATGGCCTTGATATACTGTACATAAGAAGCAGTTGCCTCTGGGCTCATCATCCACTTCGTGACTTCGAGACTTCCGTTCATTGCACCTGCTAGAAGGGGTGACATGTTAGACTTCTTAGGTTGATCTGCAGTCTTGGTTAGTTCGTTTGCTTTGGATCATACTTTTCCAATGGAATCAACATACCATCAGAAGTGTTCGTATCTCGGCAGTATATGGATTTCTGCTCAAATAAACCTGTGCCAGCTTTCTTAATCATCAATGCGAGACAATCAATACGGCCCAATCCAAGGGCGAAAAGATAGGATGGATTGAGGACGTTTTCTAGCTTCCGACGGCGATGATCCCTATCAGTCAGGTCTTTCACCATGTCCAAAAGGAACCGCAGAAGCTCGAGATCATTTCTCAAGATAGCGTGATCAATGATACTAGTATTTTCTCTCTTTTCAGAACTGAAACAATCAGTTTGATATGACTTTGAGCTATCTAGACAAGTCCCAACCCAAAACCTGTCTTTCTCCATATAGTTCTCGGTAAAGAAATAGGCAGGAATTGGCGACAAAACGGCAACCGTAAGAGGCGACTCGCGCAATTTAACATATTTAACTGCATCGGCCTTTTCCTTTTTCATGATATTTTTTCCTGTGTCACTGTCCCACTTGCAATTACTATCGCTAGACGTCATAACACAATTATCTGTGTCTGGTAGTTCCCTCACTGCATCTTCATCCGAGTTCTCTTCCGAGTTAAAGCAATCGCCATACTCATCGCGTGGCTTGTGTGGCTTATGTTGAGCGTGTAGAATATCAAGCATGTCCTTCGTGATGTTCCAATGACCACGCAGAGTGGAGATATCGAGAGCCGAGAAACCGAAACAGTCACGTTGACCAAGACTCAAAGGGATCTTCTCTTCAGCTTGGTCTTGCCAATGAAGAGTCAAATCTTGAATGGTCTTGCTATCACCCCTCCAGGCTGCCTCAAACCTGGCATATAGTCAGTAAAAACCATCCTTTTTGGGCTCAAAGCTACTTGGGATTGAGTGCGGAGTATATTCTTACAAGGCCATGTATGCCTCTGTATCAATATCTTCCTCAAGGAAAATAAATGGCTCATGGGGCTTGTCGTCTTTGATTGCAGGAGGTCTGTTTTTATTTTGGTGGTCTGGATTTGGGGGGTGCAATTCGCGGAATAGTTTAGCCTCACGAGCTACCAGATCCTTTTCTAGGCGTTCAAATTCACCAATTCGTTCTTGGATAATCTGGCGCTTTTCATGAGTTCCCCGAGGTTCGGGTTTGTCCTCGTTGGTGACTTTGAGATTGGAGCTCTTTTGATGACGATCTTGTCTTGCTCTCGCAAGCACGCGCTCAGTGGCCCAAAATTTGTAAGAGCTCTTGTCAAGTTTATCCAAAAATTCCGACTCGCTGTGTTGAACTGGCGAAGGTGATTGGGTCTCCTTCTCCGGAATGTGAGATTCTAATAGAAACCCACGGATTTTACCAATCTTCTGCCGTGTAATATCTAAGACAGAAAGACCGTTCTTTGGGATCCAGAACCTATGCGTATTTGGATCAGCCCCTTCTTCGAGAAGTCGGATGGCCAGAAGTGGAAAATCATTCTCAACAGCAGCTATAATAGGCTGCGGAGTCTGCTTAAATGCCAGTGCATTGTTGAATTTTTCAGTAGAGGGATTGAATTGCGACCGTCTTACTGGAAAGGCTGAGTCAAGAGTCGATATAACGGTACGAAATGCGACTCTGGGCTTTGCACCGGCCTCGAGAAAGTCCAGAGCACGATCTATGTTTCCAGTCAATATAGCAGTTGTCAACGCCAAGTAGGTTGATCCATTGAGGGGTGTGCCAATTGATAACTGCTCTATCGCCCACAGTGTTTCCTCTGGACTCTCTCCAAGAAAGGTCGATAGGGGAATGGTGTCTTTCATGGCAGCAATATAATAAAGCGGCGTAGTGCGGTTCAAATCTGCCTCGGCGGGCGATACGCCCAGTTGAATCAAAGCTTTCACCATCTCCAGTATCTTGGTCTTTTCAAGAAGAAACGGTAAAGCGAGCGTAAGGATAGCACCGTTCGGGGGTCGTTGCGCTGGTCGACATAAAAGAAACCTGATGTCCTCGTATTGCTTGATGGGTTTCTTCACATCAGCGCCGAAAGATACCAACTCTCTTACAGCATTAAGATAGCCGTTCAATATGGAATCATGTAAAGGAGACATGAATAATTCCCAGCAAATCTCATCAGGGTCTAAAACATCAACGCCCAGTTCATACTCGTCGTCAAGGTAATTCCCAGTAGGCGCTAAGTCATTCACATCTCCGAGTTTAACCTTCACCAGCGGAACCATCTCGTCCGTCCATTTTTCCCGATCGTCTTCATTATCTTGAACCTGTTTGGCCTTTAGTGTATCAGATGGCCACTTTCCACTTTCTCGCGCAGCCTCTTTGTTCAGATCGCTCTTGGCGCGAAGGATGCGGATGATTTCGGTTTCCCTTGCGCCGCTGCTAGGTGTAACGCAGTCTTACCGTCTTCCATCCGCGCTGCGATTTTAGCCCCATGGTCGACCAGCAACTGCACTACCTCTGGGGAAGAAGCCTGGCATGCTATCTGGAGTGGTGTACGTTTGGAACAATGACGATGGTTGACATCGGTCTCTTCCTGGTCAAGAATTTCTTGAACGGCCTTCAGATCGCTTGATACGATCGCCTGGCAGAGCCTTTCCGTATTGATGCTCACAGAATCAGCCATATTTAGATAAAATGATTCGAAATGGCTTCAACCTAATGTGATTTTCGCGCGATTTTGATTGGGTTTATGTATTTTCCCAAAATTTGGTTAATTGGGGGCCGCTACTGCCAAGCAGGCGGCCATTGGTCCAACCGCACAGGCAGCAATCCACTTCTACCAGGCACTGGCGGCACTCGGAAGCCACCAAGTACAGTCAACTCTCACTTATTGCACACCCTCCCATCCAAGGAAAATCATGTGCAATAAGCGGGAGGTGCAATAAGTGAGAGGATGACATAATCAATAAATTAGCTAGCCCTTAGCCCCATTGCCTATTTAGGCTTCCATCCCATATCCTCTAGGGTCACCTGACGCTTCTCCTCGACCTGAATCCTGCCAAACTCGCTGATTAAGCTCTCAACCTGACGTATATGGTCTGATGTGCTCTTTTCCTTGCTTCCAACCCATAGTAATATATCCTGTAGATGACCCATTATATCAGAATTGGACAGAATCTCTGGTGGAGGCCCATTTTCTTCAATATCTTGTGCTTCCGAGCTCTCTATATCAATATATATATCTTGCCCATCAGTCTCATCTTCATATATAATATCTTCCTCTATAGGGTTCAAAAATTGATCAAATGGTATGATATCATCATGACCAAGCTTCTCAACTGCTTCATTATATAGAGCTTGAACCTCACTAGTTAACCCTGGCTCAGGAATTGGTTGAAAACCAGCTTCTATCTCATCTTGGATAGCTTTGGTCTCATCTTCAGAACGTATTAAAGTGCTTTTTTTGAAGCAATTCTCAATCGTTTGATCTGATATTGAGCTCTTCCAAACCTAGGTTAACCAAAAGAGTGTATAAGATATATTTATACGATCTTGTGGATCAAGACCTCGATCAAGGATAGCAATCATCCAGCGCATCCATTTCTTCCGATAATAGTGCTTCAAATTTTGAATAATCCCTTGATCTAGAGGTTGATATATAGAAGTTGCGTTTGCGGGGAAAAAAAGAACCCTAATATGAGTAGGTGGTGGGATAGACTTCAGACCAGCAATATGTGGAGAGGTATTATCCAAAAGCAATAATGCTTTCTTATGTATAGGAATACGCCTATAAAAAGTATATAACCATTCCCTTATAATGTCTTGACGCATCCACGCCTTCTTATTCCAATGCCAGACACATCCTAGAGCTTGGAAATTGACTCCCCGGAGCGCACGTGGTGTTTTTGCAGTTCTAATTAACTATAAAGGTAATCGGTCTGATCTATCTGCATTTGTTGTAACGATAAGAGATATTCTAGTCTTATCTTTCTTCTTTCCAGCAATTTTTCCATGGGAAAGACCCCTATTTGGCATCTGCCTCCAGAATAGGCCAGTTTCATCCATATTATATATCTTAGATAGTTCATATTGATCGCATATCGTACGAATTTCTTTCATATAATTGTGTACAGAAGATGGGACTGAAGCAGCTTCTCCATGGAAAGTATGATATCAAAGATTATGCCGGTTTTTGAAGCGCGTAAGCCAACCCTCTGAGAAAGCAGGTTTTTGTTGATCTCGATATTCAGGGATCTGAGACCAAAGCTCGTTTGCTTTGATCTGGATCAAAGGGCCAGTGATTGGAAACCCTGATTCAATATGCTTATTCACCCAATTCGAAAGCTTCTGGTCTAGAATAGGCCAGAAAGATGAAGAAAATCGTGAATTTGCCTTAGTAAGCCCTATATCAAGATAATCATATTGAGATGATAGAATTCTTTGTTGTGATATGAGGCTGGTGCAGGTCAGGAACCAAGCCGAACCATCGGAATTAATCCCGAAGTATGTATACGAAAAACCAAGTTGATTGGAAATCAACTTGATCTTCTCGCTGTATATATAGCCTCATGTTTCCCACTAGAATGATAAGACAATTCATACCTCTGAACTACAACAGGTTATGAGCCCGGGAGCAACTCTCGGGTGCCGTCACTACTCATCTGAGAATCATCTTAATCTTTCGTGATTATATCTACCCCGCTTTACATCAACCATCATGTCGGCTCTGGTTCACGACTCGCCCGACCGAGCCGTTACAGCCATTGAGCCTTTGACAGGAAGCGACAACTTCGCAACATGGAAACGTCTCATGACCTCCTACCTCAAGGCAAGGCAGGTCTGGGATGTCGTGTCGGGCGACCTTGAGCGTCCTGACTGTTCTTTCAAGTACGCCAAGCCTATTACGGCGGACATCCACCCCCTGGTGGAATCGCACCTCGTGGGGGCGGTGAGGCAACGCGCCATCGAAGCGCGCCTCGAAGTGGAGGTCCAGGCATTCGAGCGTCACCGTGAATGGTCGCGCCGCGAGGCCGAAGCCTACCACACCATCTTCCGCTATCTGTCCCCTCATATCAGTATCCATGTCGCGGGGCTGGAGACATCCCGCGACCTCTGGAATGAGCTCGAAGAGCGGTACCGACGGATGGAACTCGCGACGTTCTGCGAGCTGTTTGCTCAGCTTCGTGAAACCACCGGCGAGCGCTGCGGTAGTGCCCGCGAATTTGTCGATCGTGTACGGATGCTAGTGCACCGATTGAATGCGATCGCCCCTGGATCGATCGGCGACAAAGCCCATATTGCGATTCTGCTCACGTAGATCGGACCAGAATACATCCTGATCGTGGATGCGATCCAAAATGATAAGGATCCCGTCAACCCAGCGACTATTGGCAACCGTCTAGCGAATGCTGAGCAGACGGTGCAGCGAAAGGACGCAGCGACGTTCCCGCAGCGAGTCCCCAGCGGAACAAGCAACCCTTCCATCAATACGGTGCAGAAGAACACCAAGAAATGCAACTACTGCAAGAAGCGCGGCCATGTAGCTGCGGAGTGCTGGAAGAAGCAGCGCGAACAACAGCCGCCCAGGGACCATGCCCTGAAGGCGGAACGGAGTGTTTCCGGCTCACCAAGGAGCAACCTACAAAACATACCATCAAGCCAGATGGAAGATCGGCAGGGCCCGCCGACTTCCAAGAGACCGCGGATCAATATCGTGAGGGCGAGGGTGACGACCCTTTATACCCACGCACCGTCACCCCGGTGGATCCTGGACTCGGCCGCCACCAGCCACATCTGCTGGGACCGCAGCTGCTTCAGCAGTCTTAGGTCTCATCGTGAGATGTTGGACACGGCGGGCGATCCAGTGGAAGCTGAAGGGATTGGTACGGTGAAGCTCACGCTCCGGGGGAAGTTCAACCAACCCCTGGTGTTAAAGAATGTATACTTCGCGCCACGCGTTGGGATGAACCTGATCAGCGTGCCGAAGCTGTTGCGAGACCGCTATTCGGTGGTGGCGCACCCGCAGAACGTCTTTGTGCAACGCCGAGGACGGACGGTGGGGACCGCCTACCATACGGAGGAGGATCTACTAATCCTGCGGTGCTATTTGAGTAAGAGATCCCGAGAGCGAGTCCAACTGGCGAGGGCGCCGGCGACCCATGACCATGCAGATTCCCTGGAACTACAGGCGGTGGCCATGGACGTCGACGACCCTCAGGAGTCAAGTGACGTAGAATGTACAGCGTCAACCTCTGAACTCGGTGGTGAAGCTCGGATACTCGAAGAAGATGCGAGCAAAGGAGTGGACCAGGCCTCCGAAGCGCTGTGGCACGCTCGGATGGGACATCTGAACCGGGGCGACTTGCGGGTGGTCCTCCGGCAGACCGGCACTCCGTATTGACCGCTGACGCAGGCGCAGCTGCAGGCAACGCCGCAGTGCCCGGCGTGCATGTCGGGTAAGCAGCATCAGAAGAGGAACTCCCGTGCACGACGGCCACGTCTGCATTCAACGAGAATTTTCGAATTGATTCATTCGGACATCATGGAGATGCCGATGGCCAAAGATGGCTCCAGGTACGTGATCACCTTTACTGACGATTATTCTCGTGGCTCGTGGGCCTATGCCATGAGGTAGAAGTATGAAGCGCTCCAGAAGTTCCAACAGTTTGAGGCCTGGATGCACCGACAGTTCGGCGCCCAGATCAAAAAGTTCCTCACCGACAACGGGAGAGAATATTTGCCCATTGGAACACATCTCGAATCCCAGGGAGTCGAGTTTGACACCTCGCCGCCATACTGCAAAGGGCAGAATGGTTTGGCCGAACGCACCAATCGCACTATCCGGGAGCGGATCAACACGCTCCTGTCCGATGCGAACCTTCCTCCTTCCTGGTGGATCGAGGTTGTAGACACCGTGGTCTACTTGAAGCTGCGTGCCCCAGCTTCGATCTTACAGAAAAAGACGCCGTTTGAAATTTTATATGGGAAACCGCCCTCGCTATTGCATCTGCGACGGGTCGGCCTTAATTCCCAAAGAGCACCGAGCAAAACTCGGACCGAGATCATCCGAGTGCCGACTGCTAGGCTATTGTGAACCGAACCAGTACAAGCTTTATGAAATCCATTCTGGAAAGACAGTCTTTTCACGAGACGTCGAGTTCGATGAGAGGACCCCAGTGGCGCCACTCATTGAGGGGGAAACAGGCAACGACCTCCCGGACAACGCTCCTCCATCACCTGTCTTTCCACCAAAGCCCTCCTCAGCTAGCGGGCTGCCAACACCAACCACATCGCCGTTACTCCCCTCGAACGAGCGAGAGAAAACGCCATCTGAGCGTGAAGAGGAGACACCTCCACTGGTGAATCCAAGTCAACAAGGAACCGATTTGACATCGGATCTTGGGTATTCGATCTACGGTCGCAGACGAAGACCTTCACGACGTCTCCTGGAGTCACTAGGCAAGGTGTACTCGGCAGGCACATTGAATGCCACAGCGGCGAAAGAGGTTGACCCATCGACGTTCCAAGAGGCCGTGTCAGGCCCAGAGCAGCTGGAATGGTGGGCTGCCATCCAGAAAGAATATGCGTCGCTTCTCGAACACGGAACATGGGAGAAGGTTCGACGAGAGGACGTCCCTGCCAGAGATCATGTGATAGGCTGTAAATGGGTCTTCAAGACTAAAGCCAACGGAACGCGCAAAGCGCGATTGGTCATCAAAGGCTATCGGCAGAAACACGGTATCGACTATCACGAAACATTTGCTGCTGTGTCTAGGATGGACTCGGTCCGCTGCATTGTCGCCAGCGCAGTGCTGCGCGGATGGAAACTCCACCAATTCGATGCTGTCACTGCATTCCTGCATGGCGACGTTGATTCCTCCATTTATATGAATTTGCCCGAAGGCTTCGAAGAGCCAGGATATGTGTGTCGGCTTCGCCGCTCCTTGTATGGCCTCAAGCAGGCCCCGCGGATTTGGTACCAATGCGTCCACCGCGTCCTGGCCGCCCACGGCTTCACCATGGCTCAATCGGACAACTGCGTATTCTATAAACCAGCTTGCGTCGTTTGTGTTTATGTGGATGACTTTCTCGTTGCTGCGGCAAACCCACACGAAATAGAACAAGTGCAACAAGCATTGCAAACAGAGTTCCAATTGAATGACCTGGGCACCCCGCGTTCGTTCCTCGGGATCCAGTTCGACTATCACGTCGATGGGTCCGTGTCCATTCACCAACACCAGTACATCCAGAAGGTGCTCTCCGACTTTGGCATGGAGACTTGTCAGCCGAAGTCTACGCCGATGAATCCCAAGCAAACCCTGAATCATCGTCCAGACGAGGCACTTCTGGACGAGGAAGCAAAAGCTCGTTATGCGACTGCCATCGGTTCGTTGATGTATCTGATGGTTGGCACGCGACCGGATATTGCGTTTGCACTGGGCATGTTGAGTCGCTTCACGTCTCAGCCACAATCTCACCATCAAGTTGCTCTGCAGCGATTGCTTCGCTACATCCAAGCCACACAGTCTCATCGTATCACCTACCGCAGTGGACAGCTAATCGGGTATACAGACGCCGACTTTGGGGGCTCTGTCGTCACTGACGGTGCATACTCGACGTCTGGCTATGTATTCCAGCTTGCAGGCGCGCCAGTTTCCTGGTCGTCCAAGAGACAGGGGAAGTGGCCACGTCTACGACACATGCCGAATACATCGGACAATACAATGCCATTCTGCATCTGCAGTGGCTCCGCACCTTTCTAGCCGAAACACAACTGTATCGGTCTCCGGTCACTAACATCATGGCTGACAACCAGTCCGCCATTGCGCTTTCTCGCAATCCCGAGTTCCACAAACGGACGAAGCACTTCAATGTGAAATTTCACTATCAGCGAGCCGTGCTGGATGCAGGCGAGATTGAGCTTCAATATATTCCAACTGGGGAACAGGCCGCGGATGGTCTCACCAAGCCATTGGGACCTACGGCCTTTGCCAAGTTTTGTAGTCTCTTAGGCGTCAATGCTCCAGAGATCTCGGGACAAACCGCGTGACGGCGCAGGCGCTCTTTCCACTTTATTTTCCCAGCGTGGGTTTTGAGTGGTTTTACTGAGGCCTGACTGCTCTGCGCGATTCCAGTATCGCCCTGCCAGCAAAGCGATCCTGAGGGGGAATGTTGTGATATGAGGCTGGTGCAGGTCAGGAACCAAGCCGAACCATCGGAATTAATCCCGAAGTATGTATACGAAAAACCAAGTTGATTGGAAATCAACTTGATCTTCTCGCTGTATATATAGCCTCATGTTTCCCACTAGAATGATAAGACAATTCATACCTCTGAACTACAACATTCTTGAGACCGTTGTACGATTAATCTTATGTTTAAATTGGGACAAAAACCAATCTACACACGCGGATTGGGTTGGTCTAGGGCTAGAATTAGACCAAAAGGCACGTAATGCCTGCTTTTGGGCATCTGATATGCCTAATCGAGCACGCTTTGCTGGTGGTAGAGCAGCTTGTGTAGCTGGTCTGACAGTTGGAAGAGGTGGAAGATCGGAGATTTCAGGCATTCTGATTGGTCGATATGACTGACTAAGCGGATGACTCAGCAAATATGGGATGAAAATTGTGTGCAAAGGGTGAGTGTGCTAAAAGTGGGAGTTTTGTATGTAAAATCAAGAAAAAGTGGGTCCGTCCAAGCGAATTGTGTGCTATAAGCGGGAGTGTGCTAAGAGCGGGTGTGCAATAAGTGAGAGTTGACTGTACATGTTTACAACAAAAACCATTTGTGCTGGGACGGCCGAAACTGGCCCCCTTTGACGCTGAAAATGGCGGTCTCGGCACCAGCCCTTCACACACGCACCTGTCTGACCATGGCCACGCACTTTCCGGCTCCATTGTGACGGGCTGCGTCACGCGTTGGCCGGTTGGCGTACCGTCTGCTCTTGCCGCCCCCCCCCCACCCCTGGTGCCTGGACAACACGGGGCCTTCTAGATTCCATGCGCATCCGTTCACTTTCGGACAGAGCAACCTTTCCCCACCCCAACGCGCTGCGGCGCTCCCCTGTCCTCTGCGGTGCCAAAAATGGCTGACTTCAGCTTTTGCTGGCTTTTAAAAGCGCCATCTGCTCTTGCCCAGATCGCTGTCGGCCGCTGTCCTCTTTTGCTTCCAGGTGACCAGGTCGACCTTATGAATATCTTACTTGGCTGCCATCATTCATAAGAAATAGAAATAACAACAACATCTGGGTTTCTCAACAGGTCTACCTCCAGTGGAGCCCTAAATTCACATCTTTGAAACCCAAAGGCTAGTGATAGAAAAATTCATGGGTGCTGATCTGCTTCCCACTTTCGTCGTATCTCCTCGGAATTACAAAGGAGACACCATCGATGCCTCTAGGATCGTAGTCCAGATTCCGTGCAGCGTATGTAAGAATCTCCAGTCCGAATTGCTCTTTGAGCCAACATGCAACCATATCCATACCCGCAACAGCACCAGCTCCAGTCCAGATATTCTCGTCGGTGACCCATTTCTCCTCCTTAGTCCAGTTGACAGCAGGATGATTCTCTTTAGCCCATTTATACCCCGCGTGGTTGATAGTTGCATTCTTTCCATCAAGAAGTCCCGTAGATGCAAGTACGGCTGAGCCAGTGCAAGTTGTAAAAAGCAACTTACCAGCACTGATGTGTCGACGGATAAGATCAACGTATTTTGGGTGCGGCTTGAACTCTTCGGGATTCGGACCCCCTAGCAAGATGATATCAAGCTCGGGACACTCATCCACCGTTGTTGTCGGGGTGAGGGTAATGGCGCTAGTGAATAGGTGGAAGGGCTCTTTCGTGATGCCAACATGATGAAAAACAAATTCTGGAGCCCGAGAAATAGCATCATCATTGATAGGGCCAAACATTTGGAATACTTCTAAAAACCCAGAATTGGCGGAGTGAAGAAGATCAATTGGGCCTACAACATCAATGGCCTGGTAGTCATAGACCAGAATACCGAGGTGAATAGGCGCCATTGCAAGCACAAACGGATGCGAGTTGTAAGAAGATAAAAGAAAGTTTCTTGCGACGAATGATCATAATATGTTTGAAAGACTTTCAGGGTATTTGTTACACTCTTAAGTACTACTAATTGTACACTGTAAATTTAACGGTAAAATACCGCAAATCCCGGTTCTGAAAGTAAAACAGTAATAGCTTGGCGTGAAACTAGCCGTTTTAGGATAAAGTATTTATACACCAAGAACCAAGTAAACATAACTCATGGTTGTTGAGATATCATGTTGTAATTTATTGACCCACTCGCCCAGGAATTACGTTAAAAACAAACCTTAACTAGTTAGGGGGCAATTTGTCTTTGTGGTTGCTTACATGATCTGCGCTAAAGCCTTGGCTGTGGGGCCGAGAAAGAGAATCTCAGTGTGTCCTGGTCAAGGCGATTTCGAGAATGACTGTATTCTCGAATAATTGTGATTTTAACGCTTCTGAGACCGGTTTTCTTCGCAATTCTACCGAGAATCTTCAGTAAGAAACACTCGTCCATGATGAGTGGATAGTCTTGTGAAAGGATTGCTTATAATTCAAGCAAATTCAGCTTACCTGGGATACTGTGGTGTATAATTCCATAACCCACCTGACCGGGGACACGGACAGACCGTTGAACGCTCGCCAATATGCGGTCATATGAGGTCCACCTAAGCCAAACTTTCGAAGGCCTTTGGAAATCAACCAAACCAAACGATGTGAGTAAGAATTTGAAATAAATACTGACCCTTTGATGCTTCATTATTCAAGCTTGTATGTACACGCTCACGATAATCAGGTCATACGTTGCCACAGGGGACCGCAAATAAGCAGTCCATATGATAACGATACAGTATACGCCGAGAAGTGGAAAGGAAACCTGTATATAAATGAACGGCCCGTAAACAACCGGTCATCCTACTCTTATAAGTTCATTAGCCGCCAGGGTCACAGAGAGTACAGTAGTAATACTGTTTCCAAAATGAAATATAGGTTACGATTCTTGAAAGCTTTACCATTTCTTCCGCTTTTATTGGCATGTATCTGTTTAACTTTCATAGGTATCAGCTGTACAAAGAATATCAGTCCCCAGAAGGAAATATATTTTCTACGGGTAAGATTTCTGGATTAAAATGCACTCTCATGCTAATTTTTGTCTGTCGTATTGAAGGCGAAGATAAAGATTGTCTCTTCTAGTAGTGAAAATGATATCAACAATATCATAAGCGAACGCCATATTCCAGATGAAATCAACTCAATCGCTGATGGGAGTGCGGAGACCTTAGGGGTGAATAATCCTTTACCCACTGCCACGAGTGGTATAAAAAGTGCTGCAGATAGCGCTATCAATAGCATTTCTACTCTGGCTAGCTCAGTGGAAAATGATGTCGAGGCTATCAAGAATAATATAGACCGCTCATTTTTTATCGGACTTTTAAGTTACTGCGAAGGAGACTCTGCGGAAACGAAAAACTGCACACATCCGAAGCCAGGGTATTCTTTTAATATCACTGACACTATTGGTTTGAAAGGTTCCCTGGCGGAAAAGCTTCTTCCCAAAGGAATAATCAAAATAGAAAAGGTATACCAGCGGGCTACGCAGGCAATGACGGCTATGTATTTCATTGGGTTCGTCTCCACACCACTGTCTCTTATCAGCGCCGCTATCCCGATGTATGAGCATAGTGATAAGATAAGTGGGTTGTTGATAAGTGTGAGTTAACTGTATTATATCCAAGGGATTGATCTGATTGGTTTCAGATAGCGATCATTTCGAATATGGCGGGTTCGATAATTGCGACTTCGATCTATATGTCACTCAAAGCAGCTTTGAAGGAAATACCAATGATCGAGGTGGAGGCGTATATAGGGAGATCGATGCTAGGGATTACATGGTCTGCGCTCGGATTAACTATTGCTTCAGCTATCTTACGCTCAATTGTTCGCAGGTATGGGAATTATGGGTACGAGATTTATTAGGGAGAAGATTTTTCAAAGAATCAAATTAGACATGAGCATGTGAAGAAAGTCGGTATTCAAGAAGCCTAGAAAGTAGTTTGCATGTGGTAGATTTTACGTGCCGTATTATACTATGCAGGCTGTGCGAGTGCCAGTGCTATTTGATGCCCTTTTCGGCCTATATATTTGATTATATCCATTAACTGATCACAAGACTGACAAAGATATAAGACAATTGTCTCATGACAGCCCCAGACATAGGACGATTGTCACAAATCTACACTTGATATATGACTCGACAAGTGAGGTGACAATTGTCTTCTCTCAGATACTGATTTGAGAAAGTATTCAAAAGGGAGCTTTTATCCGTCTGCCGACGTCGCTTCTCAGTTTCCTTGGGATCAGTAACAGTATGCCCTCTTGCTTCAAAGCTCGCCAAATTGAATTCTTACTGACTATTCGCAAGTTACGATCAAAAATAAGTAGGTGCTCGTTTTGGTATCGCTCAATTTGGTACCTTTCAAATGCCGCCTCTACGCTCTCCTTGTCATCTAATGAAAGTTTGAAGACCATATGCCACCTTCCAGTTTCCCAATGGTAAATCTCTCCTGACCTGCCCTTGGATAATTTGTCATCAGTCAACCGCGATGCCATAGATGGGGTCTCCCAGGACCGTTCAGAGTAGGATGAAAGAGGTCGAGATTTGTTGTTTGTTATAATACTTTCAGGCACACCTTGTGATCTGAAGTGCTGCATAATCCCTGGGAGAAGTGGCTCAGAGAACCCTGATTGTTCCTGAAGCTGATGTAAAGTTTGCGCCCGTTGCTGATTCTTGTATGACGAGGAGACTTCAGACCTTGAATACTGGTTGGGTGAGGCTGGAATATTCCACTGAGAAACATTCTGAAGTGATTTAGCGCTAGATGGTCTGTGTAATGATGTTTCTTGCTCTAGAAGACTATTGATCATATCATCCTCCGCGGCGTGAAGGGGGGACGACCCTTCGTATTGTGTCCTCAGCGTTAGGTGATTTTTTGGTATCTGTAGCGAGGCTTCCTGGTTATGAACGTCATATATAATGCCTTCCTGCGCAGTGTTGAGACGAGAAGGCACTTCATGTAATGTCTTCGATGAAGAGGGGTATGTTGCTCTGGGTGGTGAAGCTTCTTCGTCAAGAACATCATTCATCATGGTATCCTCGGCGGCGTTAAGATTAGATAATCTTTCAAGCGCAGGCCCATCTCTGTTATTGGCTGTCACGAACGTCCCTGGTGGTTGGCAGTCTACTGCGCTCCGTGGTAGTGCCTCTTGGTCAATGATATCATTCATCATACTATCCACTGCAGCGTCATAGAATCGAGAAGAGCCTTCATATCTAGAGCCTATCTCCATCACCGCATAGGCTTTGCCATCTGGAGCGAGTAGTTCACCTGGTTGATTCTTGGCAATACAGCGCTCATTTGGGCCACTTGATAATGGCCCAAAAAAAGCTAGATATATACTCCGCTGCACTAGCAATGCTGTTACATTTGCGGGAATCAGCCAATCCCAATGCATCCTAGCGAGAAAGAAAGATCGAGAGCAACTAAGAAATTGAGATTTGACAGGGTGTCCACAGCGATGCTTTCGGTTAGTCTGGAGTTGCTGTCTTTCAGAAATATCATGGCTTTTCGGCGTCGCTGCATTGAAGCACTCTACAACCCGTTCAACCAGTGATTCAAAAATATGCTCATCATACGAGAATTGGTCTTTTTTGCGCGCTTTGAGTAAGGCCTGCTTAGCCATAAGATGGTCTGGTGACCTCTCAAGAAGATCGTGAATTTTGCTGGACTGAAACCCGAGCTTAGATGCCAGTTTTGCCATATTAGCTAGGATATTCTCGTCTACTTCGCTCTGTAGCGAACCCACATATTGGGGTTCCTTCTTGCTGCTCTGGGGTATGTCCGGGTAGTGGCGCATCGCAAAGAGCCAAATCTGTCGGTATGCTAAGTCGAATCCATCGGACCCCGCGGGACTTCCTTCGGAATAGGCATTCTCCCCTGTCTCTATATAGAATGATCTGGGTCTCCATTCCCGGTCCATTCTCTGTCGAACAGTGTGACCATTCAGCTCAAAAAGACGATGCACACAATGTGCCCATTTTTCAAAACATTTAAAATCTTCGAAGAATGAGAATAACGACGGAATGCGGTCATCAAAAGAGCGTAATCTGAGCAAAATCTGCTTTCGCTGGACAGGACTAAACTCAGAGAGAACCTGGCCACTTGATACAAGACTATTCAAACTTGAAACCTCCACGGATGGAACCAAAAGTTCAAGATTTCTGACCGTCTCGTAGTTAATCTTAGCCAGATCTGCCATATTGCCTCCGACGAACCCCCGCCAGCAGACATATATATGATTCAAATATCGACATAATTCCTAAAATTACTTTTAGCGGATACTATTTGGGCAATGAATAACAGACCCCTCACCTCATTACATTTGATAGCTTGGATGCGGTGGAACATACTTATGCGCAATGCTGGGCGTTGTCCCGGCATAAGCATAACGAGATCAAGGGCGTTTCGGAGATCAGCAACATTCAAAAATGATTTCAGACGCATCTGGCTATTCGATGAAAGACGTGCAGTCCATCTCAGCTCAGAATCAGTATCAGCGGCACTACTGGCACATCGTAGTCTGTAATATATATGGCCCTCGCTATATGGTTTCTCGTTGGCATATTCTTCGATAAGTATCTCCTCTAGACCATGGGAGATATCTAAAGGCGGTTGAGTGTTCAATGTAGATAGGTTCAACAGATAAATCCGATTCAGTCTTACCGTTCAAGTAGAGATCAACTGTCCACCACCGTTTCCGTGGTGCTAAATAGCGTTTGCCGGCCAGAATGCGATGTTGACCGTGTAGACCACGTACATGGCGTTCGAATTGCAGCAGGGGAAGCTCTGCTGAGCTTGGATTATTCAGATCATTCCTTACAATGCCCGCTGTATCCAATGCCAGCTCAAACTGACTCGCTGAAATAGTCACCGGAATACGGTGCTTAGGAGCTTCGTGCTGACAACCCTCTTTTTCAAATATGCCGTAAAGGCGATCCACATTTGCTGGGTCGATTACCCTCGTATCACTAGGATCAAAGTAAATATCATCTAAATTAACCTTCACAGTCCCAAGAAATTTGTGAAGTCTATCAATCTCAGGATCATCATGAAGGCCAGCCTGTTGCCCATCATTATTCATTATGGGATAATTAAATAAGGAGCGTGATGAGATCTTCAGGGGAATCGCTTGTACTTCAGTATGAGAAAGTGGTGCATATCTGTTGAACGTTATTCAAAGGACAAAAAATGCTTTTCGGTTAAAAGTAGATATAATACAACCGTTATTTACATATGGTCAATTCCCATGGCCTTAAACAAGATGCCAATTAAGAATCCGGCAAGTCGTACAACCGAATTTAATATTCTAGAGCTCCAAAATGCGAAGAATAAAATTGTCAAGGGCAAGATGCCTAGTCATCGAATACGGCTACCGCAAATGGGAATGAGAGGACCACCTAAAGGATTGGTTCTGAATGATATAGCGGAGTCTAAGGAAAACATTAGAGAGACATTGATAATTAGAAAGCAGGCCCCATGGGATACTTTTCAACCAGTGTATAGATGTGATCTGGCTGGAGAATTCTACGTTGTCACTTCGCGTGCATTTCCTTACCAGCTGGCGGCAGTCCGTGAGATCCACCAACAAGGAATTAACGAGGAGAAGATCTTGGACATTCTCAAGAATGTAAGGCATTCTAACATTCTCGAAGTGCGCGAGTGTTTCCTTTTCGAGAAAAAAATATACTACCTCCACGACGATGTCTCGATATCTTTAGACAATATTGTCTCGTGCGGTATTCTCCTCGGTGAATTGGAAATAGGTAGCATTATTCATCAGGTATGACCACGCTCAAAAATGATTTTCAGTACTTAATAAAAAGCTAGTTTCTTCAGGGGCTCAGCTACCTAAAGCGGAACCAATACGGTCATTCCTCGATTGGGCTTGAGAAGATATTATTCAATTCAAATGGAGTCTTGAAGATTGGTATGCCGCAGCATTGGGGCTTAGGGTCTAGCTGACTCAGTGACAGGGGGCATAGAGCATATTATCCAGGGGGGGGTATGTGGAGTATCGAGAGACCTTGAGACTCGTCGCCACGGAGCTGTCTAAACAGGCCCACGAGAATCCGAGTGTTGATGTTGATGTTGAATATTCGATGGTACAAGGTTTTCTCTGCTCAGTTGAATGCCATTCCTTTGATGAATTATGCAAGGTACGTTGACGATGTTCATCTCAGTCGACTCTTAGTAATCCGATAAGTGTAGGAACCCCTTGTGATGCCTTCTAGATGCAAGCCCGGCTATCTGATAGGGCTCATCTCATTCGTACAACGCGCCTCATTTATATATTGTGATTATTCAGTAGATATAAATTGATACCATAAAAAGGGTTGTACGACTATGGCTGAAAATCGTGTTCAACCAATGATATGTTTTGATAAAGCAAGTTATATATTGTCTCCCGAATGTCATCCCGAACTCCGGTCTCAGCAGATACGAGAATCAATAGCGATTGACCTTCTGCTCCGTTCATGCACCTTGCCGCTTCAAGCTTGATTATATTCTTGCAATCTGCCGGACCTCTGTGAATAGACCCGCGAGTACCCAGCCTGCTCTCTATTTCTCCCTCTCTCACATAAACGGAAATTGTGATAGACTAGTCAAATTTAGCGTAGAAGGTACCCGGAATTTCTCACTACCTACATATCTCTGAGTTCTATTATCCTCACTGAGAACCTCATTCAAGAATCTCTGGCCCACTAGAAACATCGTATCTATTTGTTCAGCACTGGCCAACGGGGATAATTTTGTAAGGTATCATACCAACGACCTTCACCTGCCAGATGAAATGAACACGCTTGGTCCGCGTAGATGGGTGGGCATGTAATTGCATCAATTTTTTGACATAGCTCATTATCGCCGTTATTCCATGACCGGTGGCAATGATAAGTACACTGTCATACTGCTCGACAGGTTCAACAGTACCAAACGGCCCCAATATCGAAGCAAAAATCTTGACAGGAGCCCTGGAACAAGACCTAATTTTCTTGACGATCTTGAGAGATATCCCTCGCTCTCGCTTCAAGAATAGCAATAAAGTGTTCTGCTCGCTGGGCGACCAAGAGACGACCATATAAGGATGTAGCTGCGCAAATGCAAGCAGGCCCACTGTTGGCGCCCAAAGACTGACATATTGACCAGCATCGATTTTCATCTTCTTTGGGAGTGTCAAACTCAGCATCACAGCGTCGCTATCTGGCCAGATATTACAGTCCTCCTCCTGTATATCATTTTGGCTAGGCCACTGGAGAAAGCAATGCTGTCGGACAGTCCAGATACCACTCCAGTAGAATAATGACCATGTCTGGTATAGGAGGGCACCGAAGAGCACAATGACAGAGAAGCAAATGGCTAGCACCAAAATGGATCTATCTGCGGGCACATGCACCCATGCAGCATAAAGGAAGAAAACAGCTAAAGCCTGATGTACCCGTAGTAGAAGGTCATATGCCACACGTTGAATCAATGACAGGGTTGAAAGTATCGTTAAAATCAAAGATAGAGACCCCTGGAATGATCTGAGTACTGTATCCAGATACATAGATTGTACGCCAGCTTACCAATATTGCCCAAAAGCTATTATCGATTTTGCCGGATAAAGAACCAGTGGCATTTGGGGCCTCAATTATGATATGTAGGCACATCATGAGTAGAGCCGTAACTGCTAACAGACGATGAAGCTTTCGATATGTGGATAATGACATACCAAGGATATCCGCGAAGAGCATTATATTCGGCGTGAACAGGAAAAGGGTGTTCAGTAGTGCAATTTGACCTGCCATGCGGGAGATGTGATCGATTGATGGCCGAGGAAGTAAGAGGCAGAGAGTATTGATGATAGAGTAGCTTATAGCGAGAAGGGTATCCCAACGTGTCCATGGCCCAACTAATCGGTGACGAGAGAGACAGTAGGGGTAGATAAAATGTCTCACTAAGAAGTCTGGGAGGAGACTGCTCAAGGAAGCCGGACGGAGATATCGTCGGGCAAAAGCCAGTATGATCGCCAAACTCGCCATACAAATAGCAAGAATGAGAGGGTTATCCATGGCCCCACGGTAAGGTACTATACAGTAATCTCATGGAGTTGCTATTTCACAGCGCATGGGATGCCAAAGAGAAATCAGTCGATAAAAGTCGATATTTTTGGTGATGAGCTAGTTGGGTCACTGATCGCCATGTTGAACTACCATACCTGCGAAAATGAATATTACGTTATGATAGAATTGCCCGTTGAACATTGATAGATAAATTCGGAGAAGTTTAAGGATAAACACTTGATAATCAAGGTAAAGATGGTCTCAAAATCAAAGATGCTCGTCCATGCCATACGGGGGAGACTTTGGTATGCTAAAACCGGTCATGATGCTCTCATATTTGCTCAGAACCACCAAATCAAAGTACACACATCAATAATCGCTTCTGAAAGCCCATACCTCAACAGGATGTTTGAGCAAAGTGCCCAGTCAGGTGGCAGACGTACTTATTATGTTCATTCTGTGGATGTACACACCGTATTACGGACATTGGAATTGATCTATCTCGGTGCATACTCTTACCACCTGGAGAAGACAGAAATTCCAGGTAAGATCTTTCTTCATCTGACAAGCTACAGCACAGTACTGGATGTATTGTACTAATTCGACAGTATACCTGATCCCCCAAAGCTGACAAATGCAGTACAGACTCGGAGAGACTGCTTATCGATGTTTCTGTATATCATTTATGCAAGGCTTGGCAGCTCCCAGTGGACTTCCAAAGCATTGCCTTCTCGCGGTACAAAGAGGCGGTGTTTTCGCAAGGATATGATCCCGGCCAGCTCCTGGACTCTTTGCAGCCCATGCGGACGCCGCTTGTAGATGGAATAAGCCAAGAGGATATCTTTCCTGGAAAGTTGTTGAACGCATTACTATCAAAGGGGGAGTTAGAGGAGGATAGACTAGTTATATTTGCTGTTTATGAGGCTCGCCGAGCTATTTGAGAATTGCTATTGCGGAGGAATTCATTACAGTATGCCAACGCCGACTCTCATCTGAGATTGATCCACGTAGGTTAAACTCGTTGGAGCCTATATCGGCCATGACATTCAAAGATGCTCCATTCTGGAAAACCCACCTTACAGTAGCTTTTTGGGAGAGTTGCGTCTGTTGTAGGATTCGCGACATAGTCTGTTCCACCTCGGACTCTCGATAAGAAGCA